TTTTCTATTCCCAACATGAAAACGTGGCTCGGGGGAAAAAAATTCAGCTCTAACGAGGAGGTTATCGTCGAGACTGGAGTTCGAGAAATCATATTTTTTGGAGGGGTTAAATAAATGGCAGAAACGTTGGGAAAAGTGTATAGCACTAAAAGGAGATTACGTTGAAAAATAGAAATACATTTTTTTGAAAAACTTGTCTCTTCCTTTCTAACACGGGTAGGTACTTTTTGATCCACCCTCGTATATCAAATAATAATTATGTCATATTCAAATATTGGAAATTTTCTTTTATTGAGAAAAATATTCAACATTGTCGATCTTTTATTTGTCTCAAAGAAAAGTATAAGAAATAAAAAAATATTAAAGATATAAAGTATTTTAAAAATAAAAAAAATATTATCGAAAGAATAATTTTGATTGGTACAATGTATATAATTTTAACGACTAAACTTTTTGTCACTGAAATATGAGTTACTAATTTCACAATTTAATACTGATTATTTCTTTAAATTAACAACTATTTTTACATTTTTCTGTTTGAACAAAATAAATATAAAAAAAATAATACCCCATATTACTTTTGTATCCATGATTCTTTTTTAAAGCAATTTTGTAATTGCTACACCACTGTCATGAAAATTCGTAATTTTTAACTTGTGATCATAAGTTTTCTTCTACGCACACATAGCAAATGATATGCTAATTTAATTCTATCTGTGCGATAGCAACTGGACGAATTTTCAAAATACTGTTTCTTTATCTTCGAGTTCTGAAGGTTCAAAATATTTGCATATAGGTATTCAAAGCGTTTTTCTAATACTGCATCAATATGGAAAAATTGATAAAATAAAATAGTAACAAATCTCAATGAAATATAAGTTGGGAGTGTAAAACATTTCTACTAGGTGAACATAGCTGTATCACTACATCAAACCTATCACATAGTATTTACCAGTTTACAATAATCTGATGATGTTGATATTGTCAGCGAAACGTATGTCTAGTATAGAACGTGATAGTTTTGGTGGTGGTGTAGCTGTATTTTATTTATTATTTGATAATATATTTTCTAATTAGAAGTTTTCCGAATATGGGCCAACCGCTTGTTTATATTCCTACCATTTTCAAATCAAGCCAGTGTGTTAAAATAGTCTGATTAAAATTGCAATGATTATAATAAATAAAATATAATATAAAAATAAGTACCTAGATTAAAAATGCCTTTAAAATATTGATAATATTTTTAATAAATATCAATACAAGCCTTATAGGAACAAATCTCAAAATATACAACAAATTTTATTGCAACCTAAACTACACACTATTTACAACTGGGATGTGAACATTTGTACAAATATTTTCACTTCCGTTATTACCGGACCATAAATAAAATAGAATTTTTTAAAAAACCAATTCAGATTGCGTTTTAACTTCAATATATTTTATAACAATATATTAATTAAAAAAAAATTGATAGACTTAAATACTAATATGATTATTAAAATCATAAATGAACACAGTTTTAAATTACTCACCATCATAGATTTGGCTCATATTAAATACCGCTTTAAAATTTTTCGCATAGGTTAAGAAAGAAAGCTGATTAAGATCTGATAATTAAGAAACTAAATTATAAAAAAATTACACCTCCGAAAGTCAACTCCAAACGAGTTGACCTAAGGCTGATTTGGAATTGTAGTTAAAAAAGTTACTTTGATATGGGTGCTAACCAGAATTATTTCCATTTCTTGGCCATTAAGCGAGAAGGTAAAACACTTGTCTAAATCAAGCCAATTCAACTTTGGCTTCTAAGAAACCACATGACAAGGGTAGTTCTGCAAGAAAAATCAGGCTGCTGATTCTGCAGTATAGAAGACGAATTAACAAATGTATCTGCTCCTCTATGCAAAGAATTAGGGTTCCAAACATATGAATTCACTTAGATAATTATCAATTAACTCAACCATATATGGACCCTCACTAATGAGTCATGTCGCATGTTGTGCGACAACCAAAAATTAATTACACTGTATTCGCCACATGCTTTGATTTTCTTTTACTATACGGAGAATGGTCGCACTGCGCAGCTTTCTGAGTGCCTTTTAAAAGGAGATAGAAAACTCCGCCATCTTGAACCCTTATTACGTGTTGCCTACATCTTAGCGCAATATTTTTAATAGGTGCGTTTTAATCATCCGCTTCTGCTTCGGAATTGTCGGTTTTCTTGTTTTAATCTGACAGGTTAGAACGATTGAACCGACAATTCCGGAAGCAGAAGCGGATGATTAAAACGCACCTGATATTTTGCTTGCTGCTGTCAGTGTCAGTGAATATTATTTTTGGAGTCACAGTTTATTGCTAAAGTTAGCTCACTCGGACCAGTTGAAAGTTCCAAAATAACATCCACTCCAGGGATACAAATTCAGGATACGCAGAAGACTGCTGTTTTATTATAGGCGGTTGTCATATATTGTATTATCTGAGTTGCGCAGTGTATAAACTGGAACATTGAGATAAAAAGTGCCGACGCAGAGTGAGCGATCTGATTATTTAGCTATAAACTGTGTCATAGGGTTCAAAATGGCCGCGCCCTATGTTGGGCGTGTCGGACCTCTCTCTTGCCCCGTATAGTAATCAAAGTATGTGGTATTCGCGTATTTGTGACAGCCGCGTAGTTGTGACACTTTCTTTTCATTTAAATTTCCCGCGTGTTAAGAGCGCTACGTACGTATGTAGCATTCGTTTTTCAGCGTCCCCTACTACACAGATGAGATTTCGTGTTGCCGCTGCTCTGCCGGTTCGTCCGAGGTAAGACTTTTAAAATGTCGTTTTAAAACGTAATTCATGATAACAAATTGTGTAACTAGCATCTCTAGGAAGTTAGAATTTGGATTCAATGTGCATTTATTGATGTTTTAGTAGTACCTATATCAAATGTTTACATGTTTTATAACCTAAAAATAATTTTTGATGGCAAATGACGGGGTATCACATTTAGCCGACAAATTGTTCACTGGTTTTAAATGTGACAAAATGAAAGTTAAAATTTCCAAAAATCCTTTCTTAGCGGATGCTTACGTTATAAAATAAACCTATGTTCCAAGTTTCAGCTTCCTAGGCTCAGTAGTTTTGGCTGTCCGCTGATAGGTCCGTCAGTCAGTCAGTCAGAACAAACAATTTTATATATATATAGATTAAAGTTTTCTTTTCAAATATTTTTTTAATTTCATATATAAATGTTAATTTTGATGGTGTGTCATAATTAAAACCAAAAAGTGTAACAAATAGAATTTTCGTAGGGTAATTGTGACATACTGACATTGTTTTAAAAAAAATCAAATTCCAAAAAATGTATACATATTTTCCAATGAAAGCATTATGTGTATTGAATAGGTAAGATGATTGGCTAGGCGCAGAAATTTACAAATTTACAGGTTTTTTTCTGAAAAAAGAAGAAACCTATGTCACAAATACCCGAATGCACTGTAAATATAATTTTTTTTTTATTTTTACCAAAGAAAAAAAAATTTCTTGAAATGGATAAAACCACTGTCGAAAAAATAGTTGAACACTTCCGAAATAAAATTTTAAATGTTCCTAATCAATTCGAAAAAAAAAAAAAAAAAATTCAATCTTTTGCAACAGACAACACGTACATTTTCAGACACTATCCTACAGAGGAAATTTAAATTTTCATACATTTCTGAAAAAAGCGAAAAGTTTGGCAGGTTTTTATTTCCCCCTCTCCCTGTCATGTGATCATCAATCGAAGCATCTCGTTGAACCGGATAATTCTTCTTAAGGTATTTTTGCCCTATTTCCTCTTTTAAGCAAAGTTTTTACCGTAAAAGCATTCGATCCAAATTTTCTCCTAATTTTCTAGAGAAATGTGGTTGGAAAAAAGTTGGACCTGCCGGAAAATTGCCAGAAAACCACTTTGCCGAAGGAAAATTTAAAATTTTCCGGTATGATTCGACAGAGAAAATTTCAATGTCTAGCAAAATTTTGCGGTTAACTATAATTTAATGAGTCACTCAAATTCAACCAGCCTAACCAAATAAATGCACCATAAAATAAATTTTCGATTAAAATCTATTGAATCGAGCCTGATATTAGATTTCGTTAAAAAAGGAAACTTAGATTACCTAATATATTATTTAACTGAATCATTTTATAATAAAAATGAATGCATGGAACTCTTTATATCACAAATAATATTAATTAATCAATCAGTGCCATCAGCACAATAGAATATTTGTAAACACCTATACAGTTTTTGAAAATTCGTTCAAAATTTAGAGAATATCATTTCTTGAAATAACAGTACATAATGTTAAAAATAATATTTGGCTTAGCCAAAAAAAGTCCATCGCATAACAAATAACCCTGTATTAATAAAGAAATCAAGATCTTTTTTTTGATGATACAACACAATAATAACAATACCCATAACATGACGCTATCATCCATTTGAACATATTTTCTATATGTACACAACATGCACACAAAAATATACAAGTTAAGCCATTCTTCATATCTTCAACTATACACAGGATGAACACTTTTTCATTATACACTGATATAATATGTAACATTCAGATTTACCCAGAAAAATGACTACATTTTAAATTAATGTTTTCCTTGGTGGAATGTCTAAGGCTTGCTCGATTCTTTTAATAAATAGATTAAAGTTGACCTAATTATTCCACCACGAAAGTGCGTCATATGCAAAATGAATATTAATAAAAACTAAAATAAGTTTTGAACTTTGAAAAAATGGTAGGTACTTAGGACCTTTTGCTTCAGTTTTCGAATGACTGCATCTACATGGTCTACGTCCATAAACCAAGTCGCGTGATTAAACAGTCTTTAGATTTCCACTCTAAGCAAATGTGTGTGTATTGAAAAAGCAGCCACTCTGAGCACTACGAAGTTCTTCAAGTTTCGTTTAAACGAAAAAGAGTTTTAAGGATTCGAGTGAATTGAACACTTTTTTATCACTATGCGTCAATAACGTTCGAATCCGTGTGATCCGACGCTATTGTGAGGTCCTCAGCAACGTTTTCTGACTGATCTTGATCTAGGTCATCGTATTCTGACATCATCTCGCGCTTTATCACGTGGTGCATCTCTTGATCACGTTCACGATCACGTTCGCTTCGCATATGGTGATCTTGAATTAATTCTTGTTTTACGTGCAGCCCACCATTCATAGGTGACCTAAAGAAAATATGTTTCATACCTCGTTTCGTACTATCTGTATCTGTAACGTGTGAAGGGTGGGTTACCCCACGGCACCTAGGCCCCACTAGGCCCAATGTGCATCCTCCTAAGATGATAGGCACCTCCTAGCTCGTGAGTCATCCTACAGATGTAGTTGACAACGTCGCCAAGAGGTGCTTCTCTTATATCGGCCGGTGTTAGCTGAAAACAAATCTTCGAATAAATGAGAGCGTCGGGCAATCGTACAGGATATGCTCGATGGTCTCATCTTTTTGTTCGCACCCCCTGCAGAGTGCTGGTTCTGACAACCCCACGATATGGAGATGCTTCCGTACTTGGCAATGACCAGTCAGAACACGCGTAACCAAACGCAGATTCTGTCTAGTCATAGTCAAGTATTTGTTTGCTGTAATGTTGTCAGGTTAACTTAACTCCCTGGCAACTCTGCAGTTTCTTGTTTCATCCCATTTGTCCTTGAATTTCCCAAGGAAATGCTCTTTAATTAGGTCTGTCACTACCGATTTTGTCAGGCCAATAGAAGAATCAGGTCCAAAAAGTATTTGGTTGGCTGCTTTCTTGGCCAGTGAATCAGCTAGACGGTTACCTTTCGATGTGGCGTGACCTTTGATCCATCTTAAGGTGACCACATTGTTGATGGATGCTTTGGCTAGAGCTTCGTGACATTCTAGTACTAACCCTGAGTAAATTCGTGGTCTGTTCAGGGTGAGTAGTACTTGTTTGCTATCTGTATAGATGAGCATGTTCCTTCCAGTGATATTATTTCTGGTTTTTGCTGCTATGAGAATCCCAGTTAGCTCTGTTTGAACTACACTGGCACTATTGCTCACAGCCCATTTTATGTTTAGGTTTAAGAATATGAGTATATTCCACATCCTGAGCCTTGTTTTGTTTTAGAACCGTCAGTATAGATATGAATCGTACCTACCACTTCTGGCTCTTCTATTTGTTCTATTATAACTTTATATGGCTTATGGAAGATATATCTCGGTGAGATGGAGTCCATGTTCGCTTGAAGCAGTGGGATCGTATCGAGCGCCTCCTGCCAAAAGTGACGTCTCGCCTCACCAGATCCTACATCGGTTCTATTCCAACCGTGCGGAGGCGTGTCATTGTGGTCAGAGCAATCTCCTTGATGTAAATATCAAGGGGAGTGAGACTAAGAATGACTTCCATCGCTCTGGTCGGTGTTGTTTTCATGGCTCCTGTTATGTTGAGACATGTTGTTCTTTGAATTTGTTCTAGTTTACGGATAGTTGTCAATTTTTGGGTTTTCGGTACCCAGACAACTGCACCGTATGTTAGCATAGATCTTATGATGGCTCTGTACGGCGGCGATGTATGCTCTTCTGACTCTGTTTTCTAAGTGTGAATTCCATGTTAACTTGTTGTCAAAGGTGAGACCTAGGTACTTCACCTCTGTTGCAAAGTTTAGTTTTGTGTTTAGGAGTTCAAGAGGCGTTAATTCCATGTTCATCCTTTTCCTTGTGAAAAGAACCATTCCCTTTTGGGATTAATAGACAGTGAATGATCCTTGCGCCACTGTTCTATAATTTTGAGAACTACTTGCATCCTTTCGCAGAGTATATTCTCAAAATTCCAGGTTTGCAAAATGAGCAGGTCATCTGTATACGCTATTGTGTAGTAATTGCCATTATTAAGGCGGCAGATGAGGACCATCTTCTACAATTATGTTTACTGCTCGCTTTGAGAGCAGTGGTTTTATCAAAAGCACCTTCTATGTCTATAAAAACAACCAAGGCGGACTGCGTTTTCTCCAGGGATACCGTCAGAACCTGACGATTTAAATGGAGAGAAGCTGGATATTGCCCATCTAATTTTATCATCGTCTACAATCTGTTTGGCAGACAGATGGGTTGTATACTTCCTCTACCCAGTCGGCTACGTCTGTGATGAGTCTATGATGACCGAGTCAGGGAAGTGTGTTGACAGCAGAAGTTTGATGCTATCTTGGAGGTTGGCAGTTTTCATGCCATTCTCTTTGATTAGTGCACCAAAGCTGCGGTGTGGATCCTTTGAGAGAGCTTTTTGGAGCTTCGCTGCCTGCGGAAAATCTTTGATTTCTTAGCAGTAGGATCTCCATGCATCTCTTTGTTTTTGTCTAACGATTTTTTGTATTCTCTGAGGTGAGATTTGTAAGTAAGTATAATAATATAATATATTAATTTATTTTTCACAAAAAAATATATGAACAGATTTACAATAGTTTATTTAAATAGATGAATCTCTAATAGATCTCTAATAGAGATTTGTGCGTGAGTTTTGCATTTGCTTTAAGTAATTATTTTAAACAAAAGTTAAAATTTTTGATATTTTATACTTAAGCCCTAAAGCAAAACAAAAACTGCTAGATAAGATAACTAAAATTAACAAAGAAAAAGAAGTAATAAAAAAAAGTATATATGGAAGGTAATGTTTAGTGAGAAGGTAGTTTTCTTTTTAACATTTTTTTTTCAAATTTTAACTTTTTTTTTTCAAATTTTAACATTTTCCCTCTTTGAGTTTTGTGGTTCTTGCCTTATTAGAAGATTTCCTAACCATCTTCCTGAGGTGATCCAACTCGTGAGACCACCACGTGGTAGTCGTCTGATCATGTTGAACCAGCCTCAAGGTGCCCGATTTCTTATAGGCATTGTTTTTTGTACTTTGGATAATGTTGGACTACTTTTCCAAAGCATTGTTATTGTTTGGTGTTTCGGCCTTCATCTCTCTCAGAGCCTCTTGGAGAAGGTGGGCTTTTGCCCTGTCCGTCTCTCTAGGGTTCCGAGATAGCGTGAAGGTCGGCAACATCAAATTTATTTTGAATGTTTTATACTAACTATACAGGGTGAAACACCAGTAACGCCTCGGTCTATTGAGTTAAAACTATTTGAAATTTTTTTAAAATCTGTTTTTACAGCAAGATGGTTATCAGAAAAGACAATAATTTAAAAATACTTTCAATTATACAGAGTTCTCCAAGAAAGTAATACATATCAAAGTTAGGTTTTTTAAATGGGACACCCTGTATTTTATTTTATATTATATATAACAATATTAAATAGCATGAGATTATACAGGGTATTTCACATGCTACAACCAGTTTTATATAAAAATCGTATTGATTTCAATGACCTGAATACTGCAAAAGAAACTGTTTTTTTGTAGTAAAAAGTTTTAGATGTTTATCAAAATTATCTAAATTAAAATTTCAGTTGAGCTAAACATTTCCGACAGATTTGTAGTTTGGGCGGGTACTAAAACGCATGTCTGTACTTATTACTGCTTCCACTTGTTCTGACAATCGGAATCGTTACATACCTAGTTGCCAAAGTTATATAATAGTTTTGCCAAGGTTATGTACTAATTTTTTAAAACTAGGGAAACGTAAATTTGAGTTATAATGAGATGCGGTCAAATATAAATTTTGATGGAAGTTTTTGTGATTATTTCGATGTATTTCTTTTGCCCTCAAAACTAATAAAAACAAAGGCAAAACAAGAATGGAAATCCGGCAATGAGGTAGTGTAAATATTCCAATTGTCAGAACAAGTGGAATCAGCAATAAGCACAAAGTTAATAATTTTGGGAGATTTTTAAATTTAAAAGACAAAAAAATACTCTCAAAATAGTTTAATTTTAACTGGCCACTGGTTAACAGGAAATATACTGTTTGGTAATTAGTGATTAGAATTTAACTAGCTGCAATTTATTATCGACTAAAAACGTTTTTGATAATTTCTAATAGGACTAACATTCAGTTATTTATTTCAATTTATTTTTTTTTTAAATTGATTCTACTTTTGGTAAATTAATTTTCTGTATACAGGGGAAGTGCATAATTCTCCTAAATAATTGAACCGTATTATTTATTTATTTTTTGAAAATCAATTCTACTTTTGATAAATTTATTTTCTGTATACAGGGATCATAATTACTTCCTGAATTATTGAACCGTTTTATTTCAATATATTTTTTTTTTGAAAATTAATTCTACTTTTGGTAAATGTATTTTCTGTATACAGGGAAGGGCATAATTGTCGCCTGAAGATTGAACCGTTTTATTTATTTCAATTTATTTTCTCTTTGAAAATTAATTCTAATTTTGGTAAATTTATTTTCTGTATACAGGAAAGGGCATAATTGTCTCCTGAATGATTGTACCGTTTTATTTATATCAATTTATTTTTTTTTTTAAATATATTCTAAATTTATTATATTTTTAAGAAGACTTTAATACCGATAGTTTGTTATAACTAACGTCATTAGTATTGCAATATTTATTTTTAAAAAAATCTAGCCAGTTTTTTAATGTCACCTTTAGTCGTAAATAAGAGAAGTATTTTTGAGTGTAACTCAAAAAATAAGACCTCCATAAATATTATTGAAGCTACTTAGATAAATTTTTCCAATTAAATAAAATGTGCCAAAATTATGTGAAGTTTTCGGTTGCTATTTTTATTTATTTTTTTACGGAATGTTAAAGTCACATTAGGTATTGTCAAAAACTTATTCAGTCGATAATAAATTATAGCTGGTTAAATTCTAATTACCAATTAACAAACAGTCTATTTCCTATTAACCAGTGACCAGTTAAAATTAGAGTATTTTGTGAGTTATTCTTTCTTCTCATTTAAATTTCAAAATTTCTTAAAATTATTAACTTTAAGTATAGGAAATGCTTGACCCAAATGAAACTTTAATTAAGTTACTTTTAAACAGTAATATAAAATACAGGGTGGTCAATTAAAAAAAAAAAAACAGAAAAAATGAAGTATACAAGTTTTGACTCACCCAGTACAGATTTGTTAATAATTGAAAAAGCAGTGCATCTGCATAAAATTTGACTAATATCACAAACTTTTTACCGTAAAAAAAATTGGTTTTCAATTGTTTCTTGTGTACTATATTGGTCATTGAAATCATTACGGTTTTCATATAAAACTGGTTATAGCGTGTGAAATATCCTGTATAATTTCATACTATTTGGTATTGTTATAATGGGAAAATCGAGGGTAATTCAAATATTAAATAAAATATAGGGTGTTCCATTTAAAAAACCTAACTTTGATATGTATAAATTTCTTGGAGAACCCTGTATAATTAAAATTATTTTTAAATTGTTGTCTTATCTGATATACATCTTGCTGTGAAAACATATTTTAAGAAAATCATATAGTTTTCGCTCTACAGACCGAGACCAGTGGCACACTCTGATAAAAAGATTCCAAAATTAGGAGATGGCAAAGATGTGGGGTGTAAGCCAATGCAGTATAAAGTTTTTTAATTAAACAAAATAATACGTAAACAGGGTTGGGCAAAATTAGCGGACCACTAGATTTCTGGCTGTATTGGATAAGAAACAAAAAAATGGTGGAAAAGATCGATTTTGGAATATCAGACATCTTCCCCAAAATAAACTTATTTCGTTTGTTTTGATGTAATTATTTTAAAAAAGAACTGGTTATTTTCTAGGCTTTATTTAGCAATAAATAATAAAGTTTATTTTTATTATGTAATCGACCCAACCAAAATAAAAATACGAACTGAATCAAATTAACTTATATTGCAGACTGCTCTTTTAAATACAAAAATTTGCCCAAAAACGATTCGAGCAGGACATAATTAATACTTATGTAAGCATTTTTATTCATAAATATTAGTCACACTACTTAAGGGTAAAGTCTCTTATTTTATTAATGAAAAACATTCTTTGTCAATAAAATTAGTATGTCTGTTACAATTATTTTCACTAAAATATTCTAAAACCTTCATACGAATTGTATTTCATAGGTGACTTGGAACACCAGCTCCATGCGGTGAATTCTTAAAGCTCAATCAGCGTTCGTTTTTAGAGATACAATATTTTTAGTAAATGTTTTGAATCGAAAATAATATACACCACGAAATTTGGTGTCCATACATGAAAACATGTGCTCTTTTAATAGGCATTATTAAAAAACTGTAGATGACGTCATATACAGCATCTAAAAAACATAATCAACCTGTCTCCAAACATTTTTTGTTACTTATCCAATAAAATCAGAAATTTGATGTTCCGCAAATTTTGTCCAACCCTGTATAACATCAAAGTAATGCGGTGCTCAACGATCTAATTTTATATGTGGTAGTGGTACTGAATTCGAATATCAGTGTTGCCAACCTTGAAGTAAGATTTTTCCCTCCACATACTTTTATAACTCCTACTTTTATGAAATCCCGGACTTTAGTTTGTGAAATTTCTAAACAAAAAAAAAGTCCTCAGCATCATTTTATAAACCAGGTCCTGTCGAGCTTCTAAAAAAAAGGTCATCAGATTTAATACAAATTTGTATCATAAATCTTTTAACAATACTTTAAAAATACGTCAAACAATTGACAAATTATTTTATTTTTCAAATCATACATTTTCACATTGTAGACTGGAGTAAAAAATTCCCGTTTTTAGTTAACTTTTTCCCTTTTATGTTAAAAATTTTCACAAAACGGTAAATTTCCCTTCGGTTGGCAACACTGTCCTATTATATCTCTATGGATTGAAAAGTTACCGAAAGATTAAAAATTGCTGCATTGGCGTTCTCCAAGCTTTGGCATTACAAAGTGTGAGACAGTTTAGACAATAAATAACAATTTTTAAAAGACGAATTTGATCTAAGTGATTTTCTTGTATTGTGATGTCAAAACGTAGCTACTAATTTCATTGGATGACATGCAAGCAAACAGGCATATCTCATTATTTCTAACAATTTCATATTATGATATTATGATATATGATATATGATATATCAGTTTGAAGGAAATTTTTCAAAATTTTACCTGATTAGATGGTCGTGTGGTGGCGATTCGGACCTGTCTCTCGTCCTGCTGGCCAACAACGAAGAATTTGTCAAAAATGACAGGTTATTCTCGTCCATGAGTGAAGCCTGCATAAACTATAATAACAACAACAACATAATAATATAAATTATTTACTAAAAAAATATAAAAAATAATTAATGTATAATCTATATGTAAATTCTTTCAAGATAAATAAATAGAAACACTCACAAATAGAAACCGTTGAGTGTCTCCAATTTTCTTGAAAATTCAGGTACATATAAAAAAAACAAGAGAAATTTCGGAGTGTAGTAGAATTTACATTTTCATTAATAATAATCGAGGTAATGAAGCACTAAAAAAGGCCAAAAGTTCGGAATTTTTTAGACTAAGACGGATCGAAATGCGGTTTTTTGCATTCGCTTCCAAAAATTGAATACCTGGTGCACCGGAACCTGGACGCGGACCTCATCTCCGTGGATTTTCCTCATATAATCGAAAAAGACGGACCGAAAATCGTTATGGGGCGCTGAATCCAAATTTCCCGTCGAAAACGACCCTTCCAACACCTGGTGCACCAAAACCTGACCCTGAACGTCATCTCCGTGAGACTCTCCCAAAATTCACGCGGGGAAGCAGAGAAACTCAGTGCCAGGGGGTTTTTTGGCTCGCTAAATTCAAATATGGCATCGTCGAACACCTTCCGGGTACCTGGTGCGGCCGAACCTGGACGTTGGTGGTTGGGGCCTGGGCTTAGAAGAAAGTTTCTGTGTATACTTACACAAAAGCGTTTCGAGGGTTGGGAGAAAAGTCAAAGGCCGCTCGGTAAAGTTCGGAGATCTAGCCGGAGATTATTCTCGTAATTCTCCTCGCTCTATTTTAGTGTTTCTTAATCTTTTTTGGCGACGGAACCCTTTTGAAAAGCGAAATATTTGACGGAGCCCTAATTTTACTTTGCAACCCCGGCGCATTTCTAAAAAAAAAGTCCTCTACCTATAAAAAAATCTTTAAACCAGGTCCTTCCTTTAATGGCGGCGAACTTCCTCATAGTATTTTTTTATTATTTATTTCATTATGACTATTATTTTCGCAGAGCGCCCACAGGACTTTGAGGAGCCCCTGGGCTCCGCGGAGCTTTATTTGAGAAACATTGCTCTATTTTATTCCGGCATTTAGAATTTTACAGGACTGGATCAATTTTTTCGAGGGCTCCAGGCAAGAATATGTGAAATTATGAGACGATTTTCGTTTAGTCTTTTGAGAGCGTGTTTGAAAAATCCTCGGAGACGACGATCAGCCCGAGGTTCCGGTGCACCAGATGTAAGGAGGCTCATTTTAGACGTGAAATTCGGAATCAGCACCCCAAAAAACGCCCCATAGCGATTTTGGGTTCGTCTTCTTCGATTGTGTGAGGAAAACTCACGGAGATGAGGTCCGAGTCCAGATTCTGAAAACCAGGTGTTCAGGGGGTCGTTTACAACGTGAAATTTGGATTCAGCGCCCCAAAAAAACGCCCCCACAATGATTTTAGGGTTGTTTTTGGCGATCTTGTCAGGAAAATTCTCGGGGATGACGTCCACGTCCAGGTTCCAGCACAACAGGTACCCGGGGGGCTTCGCCGATGCCATATTTGAATTGAGAGACCCAAAAAATCCACGAGCGCCGAGTTTCTCTCCTTCCCCGCGTGAATTTCGGGAGAGTCCCACGGAGATGAGGTCCATGGGCGTTCCTGAGCTTCATTTCGGCTGTGGGTCAAGTTGAATATCATAATCGTGATCAGTGACTTCGAAAACCTCCGAGAACACGATTTGGGCCAGTTCTGACTCTTATTTACAAAGTTCTTTAATCTTCCAAAAGTCGTCTCAAAAAATGCATTTTTGGTTACAGCAATGAAATTTCCGGTTTGTATAAGATAAAAAGTAGAGAAATTTTTTCCAAAAAATGTTTGAACGCGAATGCAAAAAACCGCATACCGATCCGTCTTAGTCTAAAAAATTCCGAACTTTTTTGCTTCAAAGCTTCGACTATAACTCGAAAACATCTCGAGATACCAAAGAATTGATTTCTTTTTGGAATCTACGAAGTATTCTCTAGCTACTTGCACATGTACAAGAAAATCGAAATCCCAAAATCCTTCTTTAAAAAATAAACGAAGGGTACAACAGCCCTATTTTTGTTGGTGATAAACATTTTTGGCCTTCAATTTTCATGAATATTTAGGTACATATAAAAGAAAAGAGGAATTTTGGAGTGTAGCAGATTTTATATTTTCACCAATAACTCAAAAACAGCTTGGATATCAGAGAACTGATTTAATTTTTGAAATCTACGAAGTATTCTCTAGCTGTATGCTTATTTTTATCGAATTTAAAATTTTAAAATCTTTCTTCAAAAAATCAAGAAAGAGTATAGCCTTATTTTTTGCATAAACATTTTTGGTCTTCAATTTTTATGAAAATTCAGGTACATATAAAAAAAAAGAGAAATTTCGATTTGTAGTAGAATTTACATTTTTACGAATAAACAGCTTGAGATATCAAAAAACTGATTTTGTTTTTGGAATCTACGAGGTATTCTTTAGCCGTAAGCTTATTTTAAATTATAAAAATCCTTCTTCAAAAAATAATCAAAATGGGCCTTATTTTTTTTGGTGTCAAACATTTTTGGACTACAATTTTCAAGAAAATTCTGGTATATATAAAAGAAAATATTTCGGAGTGCAGTAGAATTTTCATTTTCACCAATAACCCGAAAACAGTTTGGAATCTACGAGGTATTCTTTAGCTGTAGGTATGTATATTTTCAACAAAATAGAAATCCCACAATTCTTCTTCAAAAAATAAACACAGCCTTATGGCTATTTTTTTATCATGATAAAATATTTGTTCTTTAGCAGTGGCGCATCCAGAGTTTGGGGGGGTAGTGGTAATATTTTAGATTTTATTTCTTTTAATAATATATTTTCAGTAGGTACCTATAAAAACTTAAAAATTCTTGGTAGGTTATTATACCCATTACTATCCGTTATTAAGGATATGCAGTTATCATAAATCTCAGAAATAGTAAAAAAATATTAAATTCAGTATTAATAATCTGTTCTCGAAAAAATTAGCAATAGTTGTAAAGTGATTCCGTACAATTGTTTTAATTTAAGCCAGTTGTTTCCTTCATAGAAAGAAAAATAAATAATTTAAATAAATTTAAAAAATATGGGATCTAACACTATGCCTTGAGGAACTCCAGCACTAGAAACATATTGTATTCTATCAGTTAGGTACAGTGTAGGTTTGTAACATTTTGATGCACATAATTTTTGTGATCTATTGTATAAATATAGCGATGGAAGGATGTTTTTCATTTATTTTACCAACCAGGACGTTGATATGTTTTCTTAAAAACTATATTAATTTTTAAAAAGGACGTATTTTTTAATATTTTTGTAATATCTTCTCGAATACCTTAGCAATATTGGAGATTAACAAAATTGGTCGATAGTTAGAAGGTTTTAAAGATTAAAACATATACTTATTATTTAGAGTAACTTTTCATACACATATCCAGGACCGGATTAGGATATTTTAATAATGTATCTTTCTTATTATTGAGTTTTTTGAAAAAATTATTTAAAAATATGTTTATTTTAACGCTTTCTGTAAAAAAGTGTTAACTTAGGGTTCAATATTGTTTATTTTTTGATATCTAACAGTATTGATGAGTCGTTTTTTTCTCTCTCCAACATTGATAAAATACTCATAGTGAATTTTGACACACCAAAGTAAATTTAAACATCATGTCATTAAATACGTAAATATATAATTATAACCTTACCTGAACGTTTGAAGGTATGTGATCTCCGTATAGGGTAGGACTGTGATTCATCGTCGGACTCTTTGATGTGGCACCCCTGTACATCGAAAAAAAAACTGTAAATGTTTTGGTTTCGTACTGTCAATCGATTAGAACATGTAGAAATTAAAAACATTAAGATGAACAAGAAAGCAGAAAAATGTAAAAAAGAAGTCAAAAATTAACGTACCCCTTTTAGTGGTTTAATGATCCTGGGATTTGAATTGTGAGTGACCAAAGAATTAAAAAATCTATTTAACAAAATACGAAAACCATTTCTTATCAAAAAATATTTTTTATAACATGATATATAAGTTGTGTACACTCTTAAGGAAAACAATTTTTTGATAAGACATGTTTCATTTCTATTTTAATCTATCTATAAAAATTGCAAGAAGTGTGAAAAATTACTAAAAAAACTAGTCAACTTGTTCCTGTATATTAAGAATACCTGATTCACGATCCTCTGTAAAGTGTGACTGACTGACTGATTAACTAACTAAATAAGTATAAGTAAAAAATAAAAGTGAAAAAATATTAAAAATATTGTATACAGGAACATCTACAGTGAAATATATAAAAAAATCATGCGACACTGAGAATTTGAAAAAGATTTAAAAAGATTTAAAAATATCAAATAATGAAATGAATACAAGTACCGTTGTAATGTTTTAATTTAATAAACAATTTTGAACATATACTGTCCAAATTGTATTTAATTTTTATTCTAAGAAAATATTTACATTTTAATTATATTTTGATTCTTTTTTATTAACTTTGCATACATCTCGGTATATTTGTATTCATTTCCAATCTTACTATAATAAATAAAAAAATAAAACTGTAAATTGTAGGTAAATATTGTTAATTCGATAGATTAATATTCTGAGAGGTTACCTGGTAGTTTATATATAATATACTTATCTGAGTCTTAAAGACTTTTAGTGCTTAGAGACGAACGAGATCACATTCATTCAAAAGCATGCTTTGGCAATTGCACATGTATCATTTTTATGGTTTATCAACAAAAAAGTTTTTTAATAAAAATTATTATGATGTTAAAAATATGTATAAAAATACAGATTGAACCCGAAACTTTCTTATTTCTTATCGATATTTGGAATTAACTTGGCTTAATTTCAAGCTTACTAATATGTTCAAATAATATTTTACAATAGAAATTATTGCCAGATTTAATAATTGTAATTGCACAAGTACTCTGAGACTTATTAAGTTTGATATTCACTTATTTCTGCTTATACTTCCAAGAGACACTCCAATTTTATTTCCGTAAACTAAACAAATAAATATTTGTATTCCCATCGAATTTATAATACTCATCGAACCAATCTTATTGCTCTGCTCTGCTTCTGTCAAAGAAGAGACATTGTATACAGGGTAACAATTTAGAAACTTACAATGTTTATGTTAGAGATTTAGTAGATTAGAGATTTGAAGAAACTGGTTCAGTTGTAAGTAAAAAATACTTCCAGGTTATTTAACTTAAATTGAAGCTGTGCTTGGACAGTTTGTAATGAATCCAATTTCATCTACTCAGCAAATATCTGCGTTAATTGTTTTAGTATTAAAGCCAACGTGCTCATTTGTTACTTATTTTCTTATCGCAGAATGTATTATTAAATTGTACTATGATACGTGCCCAACGAATTCACGAAAGTGCGACGTTCAGACTGGGCACTTAAGTAGTTATAAGCATTCCAAGTGGTACGTGCCTCTCAAAAACTTGACTGATTTTCTGTATGCTCTCTGTATCTGTAACGTGTGGAGGGTAGGTTACCCCACGACACTTAGGCCCCATTAGGACCATTGTGTATCCTCCTGAGATGATAGGCACCTCCTAGCTCGTGAGCCAGCCTACAGATTTAATGTAGTTGACAACGTCGCCAAGAGGTGCTTCTCTTATATCGCCGAACACAAATCTTCTAATAAATGAGAGCGTCGAGCAATCGTAAAGGATATAATCGATGGTATCATCTTCTTGTTCGCACCCACTGCAGAGTGAGGATTCTGACAGTCCCATGATATGGAAATGCTTTCGTACTTGGCAATGACCAGTCAGAATGCCTGTGACTAGGCGCAAATTCTGTCTAGTCATAGTCAAGTATTTGTTTGCTGCAGTGTTGTCAGGATAACTTAAGAGCTCCTTGGCAACTCTGCAGTTTCTTGTTTCATCCCATCTTTCCTTGAATTTCACAAGGGAATGTTCCTGTCACTACTGATTTTGTCAGGCCAATAGAAGGGTCAGGTCCAAAAAGTATTTGGTTGGCTGCTTTCTTGGCTAGTGAATCAGCAAGACGGTTACCTTTCGATGAGGCGTGACCTTTAATCCATCTTAAGGTGACCACATTGTTGATGGATACTTCGGTCAAAACTTCGTGATATTCTAGTAATAACCCTGAATAAATTCGTGGTTTGTTCAGGGTGAGTAGTGCTTGTCTGCTATCTGTATAGTGATATTGTATCTGGTTCTGCTGCTATGAGAATCCCCGTTAGCTCTGTTTGAACTACACTGGCACTATTGCTCACAGCATATTTTATGTTTAGGTTTAAGAATCGGGAGTATATTCTATGTTCTCAAAATTCCCTGTTTGCAGAATGACCAGGTCATCTGCATATGCTATTGTGTAGTGACTGTCATTATTGTGGCAGCTGATGAGGGTGTAGAGGACGATATTCCACAGTAGAGGTGATAGCACTCCTCTCTGTGAACATTCCCTCGCAACCAAGCTTCTTATATTTATATATTCTACACTTATGTTTACTGCTCGCTTTGAGAGCATGTTATGTATCCACTCACTAACTATTTATGGAACATTCCTGTTGGAAAAGTGGTTTTATCAAAAGCACCTTCTATGTCTATGAAAAAACCCAAGGCGGACTCCTTATTGTCCAGGGATCTTTCTATCCGGCCAGCAACTAGATAAAGGGATAAATCAGTAGATCTGCCTAGGATGTACGCATGTTGGTTTGGGTGTAGTGATGTTGTTGTAATCACCGCATCCCTTATGTACCTTTCTTTCGCATAGCCTTTCCAATGTCTTCATGGAAAACGATGTCAGACTAATTGGTCGGTATGTTTTGGGACAGTGTAATCCATCCTTCCAGGGTTGAGTATAAATACCACTTTTACCTCTCTACATTTGATTTAAATGGAGAGAAGCTGGATATTGCCCATCTAATTTTTTCATCGTCTACAATGTGTTTGGCAATTTGTCAATCATAGACAGATGGATTGTATTCTTCCTCTGCCCAGTCTGCCACGTCTGTGATGACCGAGTCAGGGAAGTGTGTTGACAGCAGAAGTTTGATGCTATCTTCGAGGTTGGCAGTTTTTGTGGTAATCGTCTGATCGTGTTGGACCAGCCTTAGAGGACAGGATTTCTTATAGGCATTGTTTATTGTGCTTTGGATAGTGTTTGTGTACTTTTCCAAAGCAGTGTTATTATTTGGTGTTTCGGCCTCCATCACTCTATCTTGGAGAAGGTGGGCATAGGTTGCCTTGTCCGTCTTCCTAGGGTTCCGAGATAGCGTGGAGTACAGCAACATCAAGTTTATTTTGACTTTTAAATTTTTTTGTTAATAGTTATTTTGTAACTCCTTTTGCAAATGCTTCCTAACTCTAGTAAATATTATGGTGTACTTGATAGATTATTCCGCAGGCTTTTAGAATTTTTAAAATGAGAAGTTTTGATTGGTTTTTGAATGCTCGTTGACGGCTGTAGACAGGGAACTTTGGAAGGAGGGAGAACCTTGTGGCAGCACTGGGAAGACGATCGGAGGATTTTTGAGGTTCTTGGTCGAAAATTTTCTGTAGCGAGAAGTCGCATTTTTCTCTGTAAAGAGTCTTTCGAAAATAAAATATGAATAGTAGTTCAAGATTACAATAGTCTGAAGAATAACATATATAGTATGGTTTAATCATTTCTAAAATAGGCGTGAGGAAATAGTTATACTAAAATCAGTTCAGATTTGGATGTTGCCGGATTTTTGACACGAGGACCTATCAAGTTCTTTTTTTGCATGCGGATTGGTAATAAATTGCAAATATGGGTTTTGTTGAAGCCAGATGAATTTAAGCATGGATAATTTTATGGTTATTGAAGAAATTTATTAGCATTCAAGTATATACAAGAAATGTATCTTTGACATCTCCATAAAAACAGTAACCCGCGGAATAATCTATCAAGTACACCAAAATATTTACTAGAGTTAGGATGCACTTACAAAAGGAGTTACAAAATAACTATTTACAAAAAAATTTAAATGTCGTTATAATATAAAATAACCGTATCAATGGGGGCTTTAAGGGGGGTTAAAATTTAAAAAATTAATAAATCAAAAACAAAAAGCGCTACCAACATGAAATTTTTGGTAAAATCAAGCTCTATTAGGAGATAAAGCATACTGATTCTAAAAAAAATTAAATAAATGGAGGGTTAAGGGGGGTTGAAATATTTAAAAAAATCCTAACACAAAAATTAACAATAATAACTCTGTTAAACTGTGAAGAATATAATACATAATACCAAGCATTATATATCTTTATTCTAGTTTTATTGTATATTTTTTGTGCTATCGATGTAATTAATCTAATGAGCCTGTCTGGATGAAAAATAAATATAATAAAATATTCCTAACGAAATATATGCCGACATCCGCCGTGTGTATTTGAAAATAGACTTTACTTTTACCTCGCTAAAAAGAAAAATGATTTCAAATATTTACTAAATTAATTAGAAGCTTACTAATTTAATTAAAAATCTTTAATTGAAAATGCACCATTTTTTTTTTAATAGGTTTTTATTTATCATGTACTACTGAACCACCATGCTATACCCTAAAATTACATAATTGAAAATAATAATTTTTTTAGTTCATAAGATATGACCATTGTAAGTTCTTAAATTGTCACACGCTATTGAGGTATCTATAAAACAAAGATATCTAGATGTTTAGTAAACTAGTTGAGAACCAAACGGCATTAAAATAGTCAAAAATTAATTAAAATATTTTTTAATTGAAAAATATTAGGTATTC